GCGACAACCGCTATCTCCACGTCCTCTGTGGATTGGGTCTTTCCTCGTCGTTATAAGACGGCCAATCGCGGTCGAGTTGCTTGCGGACTGCTTTTCAAGCCGTTGGTGTCGCCTCTTCGCGTCCCGTGTCATCGCTTCGTCCCTGCCACCAACAACAACGCACCGCCCCCCCCCCCCCTTCGACGCTGACGACGTGATTTCCTCCTTGGTCGCCCGGTTGCTCGTCGTGGTCCGAGGAGAGGGAGCTGAGTGAAAGGCGCACCCCGAACGCGACGGCCAGTGAATGAGCTCCGGGGTGGCGTCCCTGTTTTTTTTATCTCTGGAGCGACTGGCGGGATGGGGACATTGGAAGCCGGGAATAGACCCAGGTTTGTTCTCGCTGTTCATCATCCGCTCGTCTCGACTTCAGCCTGCTAACGTCGACAGGGACCCTCTACCATCCATAGGCTCCCTGGACTTGAAAGACGGATCGGGTTATCCCCCCAAGTATCCCTCCTCCACCACCATGGCGACGGGCGTCGGCGTCAGTTCAGCCCCTCTGGTCAGCCCCACGACCACCATGTATCCAGGCCCGCCGCCTCCCTATTCCTACCAAACCACATCGGCGCCTCCAGCTCCCCGCAACAACGAGAAGGAGCAGTCTCAACCGCAGCCACCACGGCAGTCTCTTCCCTCCATCCACGAAGCCCTTGGGAACGATAATCCCTTGCCGTATCCCGGCCCGGCGTCGTCGCCGCAACATGCTCCTCCACCTCCCTTGTCGACCAACCTCATCTCCCGTCCCAGCAATGACGGTCCGACGGGGCCGCCCAATCCCTTCTCCAATAACTCCACGTCCACCCCGTTCTTGCATTCCCAGCCGGGCCAAGCGGGCCAGCTGCCGGGCGAAGCGTCGCGGTCGAGTTTGGCCTCCGTCACCACCCAGGACTCGAGAAAGCAATCGCTCCCGTCCTTAAGCTCGGGGAAATCGCCCACGCAGAGTTCCAACACGGCGGCCACCTCCGTGTCCACGTCGCAGACGTCAGCCAGCTACGAGTACAGCGCGCCGGCGCCCGCGAGCACCATGGCGTCTCCGAATGGCTACCCGCCGTATCCCCAGTCCTATTCCTACCAGTCGCAGCCTCCCACCAGTCAACCGGCGTCGTACGATTCTCGCGCCTATGTCGGAGGTGGACCATGGAAACCGGGCACGGCCGAGCCACCCCGCGTCGACGATGCGCAGAGGGGACTGGTGAGTCGCCCGATCGCGACCACCCAGCCCCACAGCGACTCGGTGAAGCGACAACTGGACGGCTACGACGTGGAAACGTCTCTCAATGAGGTAGGACACTTTCCTAGGAGTTCACTTTTATTATTATTATTATTATTTCTTAAGTGGACATTTGCTGACCGCCATCCAGATTATCGACATCAGCACGAGGACGCTCGACTTTGCCCGACACTACGCGGCACGAGCCCACCAGACGCAACGATCGGGCCCGATCCTGGGCTCCCTGCCGTCCGTGCATGAAGTGGATGATTTACTGCAGCTGCAACAACGCAGTCAAGAGGCGCTGCTTCGGATCCGGGCGGCGGTGCTGAACCAGGAACATGCGTTGGCGGAACAACGGGCCCAACGGCAGGTTTACAAGTCCGACAATGGCTATGAAGAAGAGCACGTCCCCATGTACCAGGAAGACTTTAAAGGAGGCGGTGGATTTGCCGGTGCGGATGCGAAGAAGCGACGAGGGGTGAGTCCCTTTCACGATGGTTTATTAACTAACGCTTCGTTCTGACGTTCTCTTGCAGAAAGCTGCCCCTCCTGGTCGTTGCCACAGTTGCAATCGCGCGGAGACGCCTGAGTGGCGTCGCGGTCCGGACGGTGCTCGAACGCTGTGCAACGCATGTGGATTGCATTATGCCAAGTTGACGCGAAAACTGGGAGCCAACAAAGCTTCGGCGTTGGGGTCCAACCTGAAGCCGAAGAGCAACATTGAATCGACATCACCGGCACACCGATAGCTGTGATAGTCGTGATAGTCGTGATAGAGTCGTTTTTTTTTTAATAGCCTAATTTCTTTGGCGTTGGAAGAGTGGGTTTGGAATTAGAGAGTTTTTTTTTCTTTTCTTGGCCGGCGTTTTGTGGTTCTTGTAAGCCCTTCCTCTCTCTCTTTTTTTTTTCGCTTGTTAACTTGACTGGAGATTCGACATTGTCTATATATATACTTTAACCTATTTCTGAGAGCCACGCGTGGCAGTTTGCTTTTGGGATTGCAGGGGGACCACTGTGATTGTTCCGGTTTTTCGCACCGTCCTCTGGATTCTTCTGTCTGTCTGTCTGATGTTGGGTCTGGAACGAAAACGCGTTGTGCTATGAGAGAATAATCTGATTAGATTCCCCGGATTCATTCGATTCGATTCGATTTGATTCGATCTCTGTACGGTTGTGTGTGTCGATCTGCGGTGTTCCTCGTTTGTCTGCAAGATTGTGTGGGCTGTGTGTGTGGGCTGTGGTGGTCCTTCTGATAAAGAGAGATCCCTTGATTACACTCCTGCTTTTTGTTTGTCTTGTCTTGTCTTGTCTATTAATTGTTACCCGGTATACCCCTTTATTTATAGTCCTAATCAATTAATCAATAAATCTCATTCTTTGACTGTAACTTGAATCGATGAAAAGCAGTTTTATGTTGTCTACTCGCTTGAAAGCAGTGCATATGACGTTTCTACATCATTTTGTATATACTATATGTATATATCAATATAAAACAGCAGCAGCCAGAAGCCCTTTTGGAAGGATGTTTTTTTTTGCCCTCTCTCTCTCTGCGAAGGAAAGATTGTCAGACAGATCTGCATGTGGAGACTGAGTGAGTGAATGAGTAGAGTGCAGTGGAGACAAGAGAGACAGACATTATTTATTTATTTGTCTGATGTAATGCAATGCAATAGATCAATGCAATCAATGTAATGCCTGGGGCTGGTGCCCTGTCAAATAATATAATATAGTAAGGCAACCATATCACATTGTATGATTTGTATTGTATCGTATACCCCTCACTCATCTCATATCGCCACACATCTAGATCGAGTGGATATCTGCTGCTGAATGATGAATGATGAATGATGGATGATTTTTTTTTCAACTTTGATACTCTCTGAAGAAAGAAAAGGATTTTTGTACTAACCTTAACTCTGGATCATTCCCCCCTCCCTGATCGACCATTAAAAGAAAAAAAAAGAATCCTTCTTTCCCACTTACTTACTTTCGGTAGGTACCTACTTAGAATTAGACTAGGTATGTGTTCGTTGTTGATTAGATCAGATAGATGATTTTACAGTATGTAGCGAGATATAATACAGTGCAGTACTGTACTGTAGCAGTGTAGCTTGGATGGAGTATTCTGTATTTTCATGCTATGCTTTTTCTTTCGTATGGTGTGTTATTTGTCTTTTTTTTCTCTCTCTTTCTTTTTTTCTTTTTTGTTTCTTTTGCTTTTTGACCACTTTGATGTATCTATCAGCCAGCCAGCTGTTCTTGTACTGTACAGATATAATCATAATCACATTCATGATCATGATGAATGAGGCTTGAGTGCAGTCTATCCAGCTGCATTTTTGGACAGACAAGAAGATACATGTACAGTACATGTACTGTATGTAGGCAGTCAGGAAGCTGGCCTAAGTAAGTCAGTAGGTAAGGTACAGTACTATACATAGAGTATATGCATGCATATAGTTATTCATGCATGTAGTCATGTCTGCGGGTATGTATGTATGCATATCTACGACAAGTAGATCCTGACAGGGGATTTGAGTTTGCTGGATTGAATTGAGTTAGATTGAATTCATTCCATCATAATGGGTGATTTGTGATCTACTGTATGAATTGGTAGTAGGCTAGCAAGAAGGTTATGTGAGGCGCATGGAAATTTTCCTCTCTTTCTGTCTTTTCTTTTCTTTTCTTCTAAAGAAGTCTTCTTACTTACTCATGACATGAAGTGCATGATCTTCGAGTTTAGTTAGTTCCTTGAACCTTGATCATTGGACCTTCCAACCAAGTCGGTGCCTAGGTATGCTAATTGCTGAAGGTGGGAAAAAAAATATATATTATACCTAGTTAGATATACTACTCACTAATTATATTGAGGTGATCATAGAAAGGTCAAAAATGTTCGTTTCATTTCCTTTTGTATTGTATTGTATTGTATTGTGAATTTTATTTGTGATGATATTAGACTTTTTAGAGATATGTGTGACAGAACCCAATCTCATTCCTATCTGAGTGGTCTGAGGTGGCTAACATTACAAGAGACCAAGCTGGGGAAGGGAGGAAATGAAGGAGAAGGAGGGGTTGGAGGTCAGTGGGAGGGAAATCGAAAATACTGCCAGGTAGAACCATCACCGCCTTCTACACCGCCCACGTGATAACCTCTCGTAAGAGCTCATCCGAGACACTTGGCTGCGGATTGTCACAATATGTCGAAAAAAAAGAAGAGAGAGAGAGAGATCCTAGGTTACCTAGTTATGATGTCTGGATGATAGGTAATAGAATAGCTGGTAAACGCTCATCAGACTTTATTTATGTAGTCTGTATTAATCTGAATCAATTCGATAGTGATTCTCAAATGCTCTACAGAGAAATATTGTCAGTTACTACTGCAAGACAAGTCCTAGTTAGACTCTTAGATAATTATCTATCTAGATAGTAGTAGATTCTTTAGTTACTATCATAGTGTATTTATTGGTCTTCTCATCTGAGTAGAAACTAACACTTTCTTAGATAAGAAAACCCTCTCTAACTATGTACAGTACAGTACAGTACAAATCGGCAATTTGGACTTGTGGACTTTACCCTGCACTCTTAGTAAAGAGGCGTTAGTCAATGACTTAAGGGGGCCTGGGGTGGTACTACTTTGGAAGTAAAGTTAGCTATTGTAGCAATTTAGTACCATCTGCATTTGCTATAAGTAATACTTGACAAAGGTCAAGGAAATAACTCTCCTTCTATATACATGTGATAGACTATCTATACATGTGATTAACCTGCAGTCATGGACTCATCGACACTCCATGTGATCCACATGTAAATGGAGGGTCCATGTGCTCCTTTGATAAAGGTACAAGTACGACGTTGTACCACGACAGGTATGTACTCAGCGTCAGCTGAATTCGGGCCTGGGCTACATTCCAATGACAACAAAAAAAAATAATCTAGGTTACAATTCTAGTGCCATTCGTCTGGATGATTGATAGCTGGCCTGGTTGATGAGATATTACCTGATTCTGGTTCCGAGATATGTAGCAATTTTAATTTAGCTCTAGCTACAGCTCTATGCAAATTAAACAGCCATTTATGTATGTACGTACTTCAAGTAAACAAATATGTAAAGTAGTTTTCTGCCTAGTTGTCGTAGAGACATTGATACTTTAATCTAGTTTACAATATTACAGCAGTACTCTAGGTATATAGGTTACATAAGTCATATAACCTTAGCAGTCCTTCCTGTTGAGTAAGTAGTATCCTTTGTTGATCGATTGATCGATCGCTGTGCCAGAGATTTCTGCAAGGAAGCTGAAGCGTCCAACGACAAGATAGTGATATTAGGCTCTGGAGAGTCCTCATGCTATCTGTCAGCTTTGCGCATCTCTTTTGGGATCTGTTTGTGATTCTTTCTGAGTCATGAGTTTGTCTGGTATCTTGACAAGGAGGGTGTCTGATTCTCTTTGCCAATGAGCTGGTGTTTAATATCAAAGTATCCTCACTACAAATTCACAGATTCGGCTGGTCGTTTGACATCCATTTTTGATGCGCAACTTTTCTGATCTGTTAGCGCATGCTGAAGAAGCACATACTTTCCCTTATTTGCTGTCATTATTAATTATTCCACCCATAGTTAAATAATCTATCTGAATGGATGAAGCAATGGGATAACAACTGTCATCCTTGGGAGTTAGTACTCATACAAGACAGGCAATTTATTTATGGATCTTCCAACCGGGATTTTCTCGACAAGACATTGGGGACAGAGCGAGGGAATTTTCAGATCGAAAAAAAAGGAAGGAAGAAGAAATTGAGGAAATGGTAAAGCAAAGAAAGGAAAGGAAGGAAAGAAAGAAAGAAAAGGAAAAAGATTAAAGGGTTGTCCCCCAGTTCTGTTCAAACTGTCCTATGTAAGGAGGAGTTGCCTTCCTTTGCTTGGTTAGATTAACCTAGAAGCTCGGGTCTTGATGATCTTTAAATAATTAACTAATTACAAATAATTAATTGAGATATGCCACCCTTTGTATAGAATATCTATATACTGTGACTAAGGCATATTCTTTCTAAGTTGTGTTAAGGACAGTCTATACTTACGAGTCCAGGCAAATTATTTATATGATTACTTACAACCTGCCATCGTGGACATTCCATAAGGAAGCCACAACAATATGGAGTCTTACACTCCTAAATAGGGGAGGACTTTTATATAAGCTAGGGTTTACGCTTTGCAGGTAAACAAACAAAATAGATAAAGTACCTGTGAAGAAGTAGAATCTTAAGATTTTATAAGCCCTGTTATGTTCTACTTGCAACAAGCTATGCAATTGCACTAGCATACAGAAGGTCAGATGACTCAGATAACAATAGGGAGGAGGCAGCCAAAAGGGTGTGACTTGTCTGTTGATTTTTGCTTATGGAATCTTCAGCTTATTGAATAGGTGGGTTTGGTGAAAAAATTTAGAAAAAAAAAAGGACATTCCCACGACCATCTCTATAGGAAGGAGAGTATATATGGCGTTTGTCACTTTGGTTCTGTTTCAACCTTTCCAATCTGAACACCTGCCTAATTGATTAGATCCATTGCATGAATAACAGTATAAGGTCTAATTTAAATGGAAATCAAAACAGCTAGCTACAGGCGATTTTATAACCCTGCCAAATCTGGTTTCATCAATTGTTATTACTCATGCGCCTCACCTTATACAGAGTATATAGTAGTCCATATTACTATGTCACTTCCATATGCAGGCAGACTTGCTGCTACCTTGGCACTTTTAGTATACAACATAGTACAGTACACTACAGCCTAGTGTTAGACTGGAATAATGTGCCTCTATGTTGTGTGACAATACAGCAAGTCTATCATCAGGACACATGGGTACCCCATTGTTGCTACACTGTCATTAAGATGGAGCATCCTTGATATTGGAATTATCAAACATCTTCTACAGTTTCATCTTATGACATTCTTATGTTACACTCTACCTAAGAGAGATGGTCAGATGGTTATGGAGAAGAAACACAAGATGAAACTGTAACAGACAGGAGGTAAATCTTGCACTAACCTGTACTAGCTGTTAGGTAGCTACTTTAAAAAGGAACAGTATCTGCTGCTTAAGAGCCACATAACTAACTAAAGAGTCCCCTGAACTGGCTAGCACCTCATGCAGCTGTATGATACACATATATAAATCATTTAATAATAACGCCGTAGGAGCCTAGTTTAGAGACCAGGAATCGATCCTGCTTAGAATAGATTGATTCTTGCTCATATTCTTCCTACCAGCCTTGTAACGATCTAGTATTTTGCCTATTTGTTGAGGTCTCTCCGTGGTTTAGGAGTAAATCTTCAGGAAAAAAAAAGAATGTAAAGAAAGAAATAAAACGCATTTACATGCTATCGGATCAGGAGAATCTAAGCGACAGCCCTGTAAAGAAGATCTCATTTAGTAGCTATTACCTACGAGCCAATACTTAGGCAAAGAAATAATAAAGAAAAAAAAGACCACCTATTGGTTAGAGGCAATCTTGAATAAACTCTTTTCCTTGCTACCTATCCTTCTTATAGTTATAGTATCTCCTATGGAATGCTACCTATTTCCCTATAACTGCTCCTCGAGTATCCTAACTCGGTATAGACTAGGTAATTCTATAGATTATTGGTAATTCTGTCCAGTGGCAGGACATGCAGGGATAGCTGTCTGGTCAGACTGATGGACCGGAGATTTTCTTGTTCTTAGCTACGGTTTTGTTCTAGAAAGATGCTCGAAATATTTGTTATGGTATGTATTTACGTACTGACTCGTTGGTCTGACCCATCATAGCTAGAAGCGAGGGGCCTTTGCCTTGTTCTATTTACGTCGTCTGACAACCTGCTCTAACAATTCACCTCTTGATTAACTTAATCAATTCTCTCCGCAGCTGCGAATTACGCCTAAGGCAGCCTATAGCAATATTAGCAAGTCATTATCGATCACATGGCTGTCAACGAGGCTTGTTTATGGCTGAAATAATTGTCTCTAGGTACGCCTGGACCAATTACGGGGCCCATAATTAATTGGTGCACCGGCAGCAAGTTGAGGCAACCAAGGTCTCGTATTTACGTACTACACACTTCCCTAAATTAATGTCCGTCAGATACGACGTGTGATTGTGGTGGGGCCTGGCACGACTCCACGAGGGGAACGACGCTAGAAATTAGGACTCGTTTTCTAGATTCGTTCGTTTCACAGCAACAGCAGGCTAGCAGCAGCTCTCGGTTCGTCGTGCCGAATGGAATGTGGGTATTGAAGAGAATCGAATTGCCTCGTGGAGCGGCTATGGATAGGGTCCTCTCCTATTGTTGGAGTCTCACCCAGCAATGGGCCCACCGGGGCGTTGCGTAGATGCTGACAAGCTCAGCGACGAGCGATTCTAGCCAAGCTTGTCGTCCGCTTCGTTAGGGCTTATTGGAGTTAGGCCTGGCAGCAGGCAGAGCCATCGCATGGCGCCCCTTGCAGTGTCTCATTCGTCAGCAGCGGCGGGGTTATCGATCTAATCGGATGCAACATGAGAAATGGAGATCAGATCCAAGCTCCCTGCGGACCGAGGACTCCGGACTCCGTATAGCGTCCGACACTCCGAAGGCAGGGATTGATTGGCATGTTGGGACCAGTCACCAGCTAGCTAGCTATTATTGGTGTCTCTGCCAGCAACGTGAAGAATCTGACGCTGACGGGCCACCATCTAGATCTTTCGATGCGCCATGTAAGGGGTGACCGTGCCTGCATCCGGGACGTCGGCGGGGCCAACCGAGATCTTTGCTATTTATGGTTACGTTGGCTGCCAAGATTGCTTGTCCTGGAGATTATCTGATGATGATGATGATCAGCGGACAAGCTTCGAACGGTCCTCCGGTGTGGGACACGCAAGCACCGCTGTGGAATGGAATGCCTCCGTTACCAACAATAATGCACGCGTGGGTTCAACCGTTCTTCAGCTGGGATACGAAAGGGCTTCATATGTCAGACCGCCGGCCACTTTTCTGAGACAAGCTTTTCTAGAAGGCCCGTATTCCCCACGAGTCCGACCTGCTTGGGGGCCGACATGATATCATTCCGCTGACGCTGCCCCGAGTCCCTCTCCTTCATTGACGCAGTTGCCTTGGGCTCCTTGCGTCTAGCACCGCGCCCCCACGGAGCATCTGACTATGAGCTGATGAACTCTAATTTGCGCTAAGATGTGGAATGTGCACCCGAGATAAGCTTAGAATGAGCTGGTCGGAGCATACTCCGTGCTTGTTGTGTAGGAGAGGCGCAAGCGATATAACTGTTAGATTGTTATATTGCGATGATTGATAAGATCCTCCCCAGCTTAACCTCGCCCGCCAAGCGAGAGCCACGCACTCTTATTTCATCCTGCCATTGCCCTCCTCCATGCCTGCCATGGACGCCCAATCGCCCACGGAATTCCGCGAGGACGAGGACTGGACCAAGCTCACCGATCGAAGCTCTCGCCGCCGCATCCAGAACCGACTGTCGCAGCGGAAACGACGTAGGTTGCCCTGCCATCTTGAACTTGGACGCCTGATTGCTGAATGTCCGGTTTTGTTGGACACAGGGCGGAATGCAAAACTGGCCAGCGAAGCCCTCCGCCAGCAGCAGGAACAGCAGCAGCAGCAACAACAGGAGCAGCCGCAGCAACAGCCAGAGGAAGAACCCCAGCCAGCACAGGGATCTCCTCAGGAGATGGCCATGAACCAGCCATTGCCGCACCTCCAAGCAGAATTGCCTCAAGGGCAACATCCCCCCGACACTCCGCTGGGCTCCGCGCCGCCAACCGTGTCCGACGCGTCCAGCCAGTATATCCCGGCCAGCTGTCCCGAGCAGGCCATGTCGAGTACGGCCGAATACTGCCTGGGGTCGTCGTATCCCGGCATGCACGATCTGCCCGACGTGGGCGAGCTGTCCGACACGGCCGACTCGATATTCACCGGCGTGCCCGACATGCCGTTCCGCTCATCGTCTGCCCCGGAATGGGATGTCCTCGCAGACGGATGTCGACCGGGCTTTCCCTCGAAGGACATGGCCATCATGTCGTTGGAAGACGTGCCTCCGTCGCCCGCCTACGGAACGAGCCCGCACATGTCGTCGACGGCCTGGCGCCATGTCGTCAAGTCGCGACCGTACGACCCGTCCATGATGCCGCTCGGGGTCCAGAGTCGGCTGCCGAACCGTCGAAGCTTTCAGGGCGCCCCTGAGAGTGCCACGCTCACCAGCTATCCCATGCAGGCCATGCGCGACAGCTCGACCGATAGCACCATGAGCTGGGACGCCTCCATCGCCGCCGCCAGCATCCACAGCGCCGACTCGGGCGACGACCAACGGTCGCTGGCCTCGGGCAAGGTCTTTGACCTGTCTCCGGATCCGGCCCGGAGCCCGCCACGATCGGCGTCCATCCCATCATCATCCAACAGCTCCCTGGGGAGCCAGAAGAAGGCTGCGGCGCCGATGCGGAGGGAGCAGACCTCTAGCATACAGCGGAAGCGGACGCACCGGGCGTCGTCGTTGGGGGCATCGTCGAGTGAGGGGAGTGAGGTCAAACCGACGGGGACCACCAACGGGCACACATCGCTGCACCTGGCGGTGCTATCGGGGCATCTAGCGATCGTGAGACTGCTGCTCGAATCCGGGCTGGACGCGGATTCGAAGAACGAGGAAGAGCAGACGGCGATGCACCTGGCGACGCTCGAGGGCAACCGGGCGATGGTGCACCTGCTGCTGGAGCAAGGCGCGAGCCCGAACATCGGCGACAAGCAGGGCCAGACGCCGCTGCATCTGGCGGCGAGCAATGGGCAGGTCCGCCTCGTGGAGCTGCTGCTCGAGTACGGCTCCGAGGCGGATGCGCGCGACAATGCCGGCTACACGTGTCTGCACAAGGCTGTCATGGGCGGCCACGAGGAGGTTGTGCGGCTGATGTTGACCCGGGGGGTTGACGCGAAAGCGAGAGTGATGTTATAGATGATCTCCTACTTCTGTCTCTCTCTTTCTTTTTTTTTATCCTCTCGGCGTTGTTTGATTTTATTCGGTTATTGGTGTTTGACAAGGAAATACCCCATCATGTGCTTTCACATGTGCTTTCATCTTGACTATTTCTCAATTGCTTCATTCATTCTTTTTTTCTTTTTTTTTCCCGATTCAGGCGTGACGAAGAACAATGGCGTATGTATCATAGATGTTATCGAGGAATCACGATATGATGACTTACCAGGCCTACGAAATGAAAATGAAAAAGAATCATAACGAAAACAAATCTATTCATTCCAATGCGTACATATAGAAACCATATCCATATCCATATCCTCATAACGATATCCATATCTATATCTCCTTCTTCTGCGCAACACAAATCAACTTGCCCATATGGATAGCCGCGCCGTTCTTGCACTCCTCGTGCGCCTGCTCGAGGATGCGAGACAGCCAGATGGCCTCCTTGGAGTCCTTGGGCAGTTTCTTGCCCGCGAATTCGGTCAGCGTCTGGAATGACACCTCTGTCAGCCAGCGGCGCAGCTCCGGCGGGTCGGAATGGCTGTGGACGACGGCGTTGGTGAAGCCGTGCTGTTCGAGGACGGTTGGGATAATCAATCGCCATCTGTGTGCCATTAGTGTGGTTATTTTTTTTTGTGATCAGGATATCATACTCGACTCCGTTGCGGTACTTCTTCGGCCCTGCGGTCATCCATTCTAGCAGCTCGCTCATGGCGGGTGTTTGGATGGTGTCGTTGATGGTCACGACGTGGTTGTCGAAGTTGTTGATTTCCTCCCACTGCAGGTATCCGCCGGGCTCTATATTTACGACCGAGTCAGTCGATTCTCGTCTTCTCTTATCTTATTTTTGTCACGCAGCAGGCGAGGAAACTAACTCAGCAACAGAGCGAGATTCGCAACCACTTTCGCCAAGTCCTCATTGGCAATGCCAATCATGACCAGACGCAGATGGACGAGGTCGAACTGGCCGTGCAGTTCGGCCGGCGGCGGCTGGACGGCATCCCACTGCTGGAAGTGGATATTCGAGGGCATCCACTCCTGGCGCGGGCACTGGCTGATGTCGATATCGAAGCCGTCGAGCCGGACAGAGTCGCGGTTCAGTTCGCGGTTGAGCTGCGTCAGCCAGATCCTGTCGGTGGTGTTCCGGACAGCCGGAAATAATTTAGCCCCATGGTATCCTTTTTTTATTTGGAGTGTAACCATATCCATGTCCAAAAAATGGAATTATTGAATAAAATTAAGAAATAGACTCACCCCGTGCCCGTACCCACATCGGCGACCCGCGCATCGGCCTTCAGCGGCGGCACGCTCGGGTGGATGATGTACCCCAGGGAATCCCTCCAGAGGTAGGTTTGCAGATTCAGCCGGGCAGATGCGTGGTAGTTGCGTTGGAGGATGTAGCGATCTTGAGTGTCGCCGTTGGTCGTCATGGTTAATAAATTATTTTTTTTGTTTTCCACTTAACCGGAACTCCGGTGATGTTGCGGAAATCCCCCAGAAAGTAAAAAAATCAATCAATCAGTCAAGACGAGAAAGAATAGCATTCGCATTCGCACCAGCGAGGACGAGACTATTCTTCCAGCGCAAGCGATGGGATTCCCCTTGCCTGGGCGTCGGAAGTAATATACCCTCCGACATCCAGCCGCTTTGTACACATTGTATCCATATCCATCATCTTGGCGGAAGAGTACAGTATGGCTGGGGAAGGCAGACCAAGCCCAAAAGAGTGAACAGTGCGAGGGTTGCAGTTAGCCTAAGTTTAGCCTCCTGGGCTAGCGTCATACCAAAATAGCTCTGGACGCTTAAGACGACGTCTGACAAGCCCTAAAAAGTGATCTGACGCTGTCAGACGGCCCGATACTGGATTTGGAATGATGAAGGTAGCAGCACCATCAAACCTTCAACCTTCAACTTTCGACCTTCGACCTCTCTGACAGTGTCATCGTGAGAAGGCTATGCTGTCATCATCTCAGGAATTCATGCAGGAGTGTACTGTCAGAATACGAAGGACGTTCCAAGGACCTGGTCTATAGCCACCATGTGCCTACTCTACATGTATGCACATACTTTCCTTAACCCTAACCTCTCGACCGGACTAAATCCTATCAGCTCCTCAGGTGGATCCGATGAGGCATTCTTTGTCTTTTCGGTTTCATTCTGGCCTCGTTCCTGATCTTCTTTTTTTTGAGCCCGTCCCATCTGGATTCCGATCTGCTAGCAGCTGCTAGTAGCAGACCGCTGCCAGGGCAATCCTTTCGCACCATCCGATTCTAGACTTGACAGAACTCTGACGATGATGTCGCTGCATCCAGCGCATCTGGCCATCGCCACGGTCGTTCTGTACTTCCTCTACGGCCATCTCCGCCTCTCGCTCGCGCGCGCCCGCGTCAAGAAAGCCCACGGCTGCCAGCCCGTGCCGCAGTACAAGCAGTGGGAGAACATCCTCGGGCTGCAGTACTTCCTCGAGCGCATCAAGGTCGCCAAGGAGAACCGCATCCTCGAGGAGGGCCTCAAGCGCTACGAGCAGTATGGCAATACTTACGCGGTCAATGTCATGGGGTCGACGACCTACCTGACCATCGAGCCTGAGAATGTCAAGGCGGTGCTCTCGACAAACTTCCAGGACTATGGCCTCGGGTCCCGGCTGAAGATACTGGGTCCGCTGCTGGGGAGAGGGATTTTCACCACTGACGGGGCACAGTGGGAGGTAAGAGAAGAATAGCGATTTGGACGTAGACGTTCGCTGACTCCGACAGCACTCCCGCCAACTGGTCCGGCCGACATTCAAGAAGACGCAGCTGGCCGACCTCGACGTGTTCGAGACGCACGTCCAGCATCTAATCGAAGCCATCCCGCGCAACGAGACGGTGGACCTGCAGCCGCTCTTCTTCCGGCTGACAGTCGACTCGGTGACCGAGTTCCTGCTGGGCGAGTCGGTGCGCAGCCTGGGCCGGCGCGACGTGCCCGAGTCGGAGGACTTTGGCTTCCAGTTCGACCGCGCGCAGGACGGGCTGATTACGCGCTTCCGGCTGGGCCCGCTGCTCTGGCTGTATCGCGACCCCAAGTTCTTCGAGGCCTGTCGCTTCTGCCGCGAGTATGTCGAGCGGTTCGTCGCCCGCGCCATCCAGCGCCATCGCGCCGGCGCCCCCAAGGAGAGCAAGGTCGCCTACGTCTTCCTCGACGAGCTGGTCCACGAGACTGAGGACCCGGTCGCCCTGCGCGACGAGCTCATGAACGTCCTGCTCGCCGGCCGCGACACCACTGCCAGTCTGCTGAGCAACCTCTTCGTCATGCTAGCCAAGCACCCGCACGTCTGGCGCCGTCTGCGCGAGGAGGTGCAGACGCTGGGAGGCCAGCGGCCCAACTACGAGACGCTGCGCGGGCTGACGTATCTGCGCTATGTGGTGAACGAGTGTAGGTGCCCTAGAACGACAGGCCGATAAATATACAAATGCTGACCGGACTGACTGCCAGCCCTACGACTGCACCCCGTCGTCCCCGGCAACGGCCGCGAAGCGCTGCGCGACACAGTGCTGCCAGTGGGCGGCGGCCCAGACGGCAAATCGCCCGTATTCGTAGCCAAGGGGTCGAGGGTGGCCTACACGGTGTACGCGATGCACCGGCGCAAGGACATCTTCGGCGAAGACGCGGACGAGTTCAATCCGGACCGGTGGGAGACGATCCGTCCAGGATGGGCGTATCTGCCGTTCAATGGCGGGCCGCGCGTGTGTCCCGGGCAGCAGTATGCGCTGACTGTCGTCAGCTACACGGTTGTCCGGCTGCTGCAGACGTTTGAGGAGATTGAGGATCGGGAGCCGCGGCCGTGGAATGGTAAGCCGCATCTGACTATGTGTAGTCTGCATGGGACGAAGGTGTGCTTGCGGTGAGAAGTATGGAGATGATGAGTTTGCTTTTGTGTTTTTGAATTCAATTCTGGATCCATGTGTCGAGAAGAAATAGTGGTTTGTTCTGTATCTATTCTATATCCGGTAGATCTAGACAATTCAAGACATTTCCATGTACTGTACTTCTTATCTTATCGTCCTACGAACCCTCTGAAATAGACGAGATGGTAAGATTGAAGGCTTCTGTCAAACAAACTGGTGCACAAAAGAAAAACCTAGGTTATCTAGTGAACCCCTAGTATGATTGATAGCTGCCGGTTGACAGCTTCTCATTCCAAATTCCATAATCTATGGTGTAGGAGACAACGTGACTATTAAACGATTGATTGATTCTGTGTACAAATTCCTTCTGATCGAATATGTATGTACAGTACATACATCATTGACTACATACAGGTAATCACTCCTCAACGCATCAAACCATCCTCATCTCGCAGAGTTGCTGGTCTACTCCTTGCCCTGCCAGTCATAGACCATCTTGATGCGCGCCACCTGGTCGCCCTTGCGCGCCACAACGTGCCGCACATAGTAGCGCTGGCCGTCGATGATCTCAAAGCCCCAGGCCTGCTGCGTGGTGGCGCCGCTGTCGAGATGCTCGGTCCACGTGTGGATCACCTCAGTCGTGCCGTCCTCAAAGCCCTCCTTGAGGAAGTCGTCGTCCAGCTCGGCGAGCGTCGCCCACCGCGTCTTGCCCTGGACGCGGCCGAACAGCGGGTTGTTGGCCTCGCGGCCGGTCCAGTCGAGCACGCGCCGCTCCTGGGTGCCGGCGCCCAGCGAGCTGCTCTGGTCGATGTCGACGTGCGTCAGGCCCGTCTCGGAGTCGGTGTACTGTTTGATGGTCAGGGTGACGGCCGCGCTGCCGATCGCCTTGCGCGTCACCCAGTTGACGCCCTGCACCTCCAGCACGGCCTCGGTGTCTCCGGAGAGGGATTTGTTCTGCCCAAGTCAGTCTGCTCTGCACGTCTACCGGGGATGAGGCATGCTCACCAGAGCCCATTTCCCGCTGAGGGAACGCAGCGTGACGTCCGCCGGCGCAGCCATGTATTGCGATGTATTTGTCTGTGTGGGTAGCTGGGTGGAGTGTATCGAAGAAGCTCGGGATCTGCTTGCTTTGCTTGCTTGCTTGCTTGCTTGCTTGCTTGCTGTGGGTTCGTTCCGTGGGACAGAGACACAAAATATGTGCCTGGGGATGCCAGCCGGGGGCCATGATAAATGCTGTGGTTGCTGGATCCCAATTCCACTGTCTGACATACTCTCCGCGACGCATGTCAGACGGCCGCGTCATTCATGATCGGAATTCCGAAAATCGAGGGCGTCGTGCATGCGGGGCGACGATGTCACCTCGCCGAGACCACCATTTTTTGATCCAGACAGCCTGGCTGCTGTCTAGCTGCTTTGAATATTCATCACACAGGCGATTGATATTATTGCGAAGGCGTTCCAGCATGCCTGTCTTATTGGGGCAGTCTTGGTCCCACTGTTGGTTCCCAGTCGTATGACTCGTATCGTATTCATAGCTCAATTATGAGAACAATTCTCTTATTCCAGTACATTCTGTAAGTAATAATAACAACATTTATTTTGTAGGAATCTGTGGCAGGACAGCAGCTGACCCTGTCAGACTGCAGACAAAGGCCAGCCTGCACCGCCACGACTGCCTCCCCGCTGCTCGTTCCAGGAAACTTAAACATCGCTGATCGTCTCCTGCGCCACACTGCGGGGGAGTATTTATTTTATCGCTTGAAAGCCGCCTACAGTTTCTCCCTCCCGCTCGCAAATAACCATATCCAGCCCAAATGGCCGCCGACGCCGCCCGGAAAGACGACGACTCGAGCTCCGACTCGGACCGCGAGGAAGCGGGCTCCCCCCCGGATGAGAAGGCGTTAATCGGCAGCTTCATCGACGCACATCCGCCGCCGGCCGTGCCCCAGCGCTACGGCCGGCTGTCGTGCCCCGTCGTCATCCCCCAGCGGCGGCCTGGCAACAAGGAGCGCGGCTTCGTGAAGGCGTACGCGCCCATGCTGGCCCAGTGCGGCATTGACCAGGACACCTTCCTGGACTTCATCCGCACCTGTAACAAGGCTATCCAGGCCTCCAAATGGCTGGTCGCTCTCCAGGTGGCCGCCGCGGGCGCCGGGCTGGCCCCCAACAGCATTGCCATGGGCGTCGCCTTGGGCGTGCAAGTAGCGTCTGGCATCGCCGCGCAGGCGCAAATCAAGTGGAAGTGAGTCTGTCCGGACCTTGTTGCGAGCCATGTAGTTAATCACTCCCAGAACCAACGCCTTCCTCGACCGCATGAACGAGGAGTTCTTCCGCCCTCGCGGGCTCTACTGCCTGCTCATGGCGTACAACCCGATCCCGATGCAGAAGAAGGACAAGACCGACGTCGCCCAGACCATCTCCGCCGCCATGCCCCCGTCTTCTGGCGGCGGCCTCTCCGCCAAGCTGAAGAAGAATCTGCGGAACCCGTTTGCCAACGTCACGGAGGGCGAAGAGAACCTGCCCGAGCAGGTGGCGCCCTTGATCTTCCCCGAGAAGCCGGCCAAGCCGGGCAAGAAGAGCAAGTGGGCCAAGTACAACCTGAACGACTTTTTTGACAAGAGGGCGCAGGCTCGATACGTCAGTCTTCTTCTTCCTTTCATTGACTAGTCTTCTAATCCTGACAATCGATACAGGCAGTCGAAAGCAACGGCGACGTCTTGTCCGTGCCGACTCCGCCAACATTCAAAAACCGCTATCTCGATCCCAACCACCCGGCCAACAACGGCGGCCTGCTGGGCCTGCTGACCGGGGGCGCGCTCACCCCAGATCCGCAGAAGCAGAAGCAGCGGATGCTGGAGGCCATCGCGGCGCAGGAGAAGGCAGTCCGCGAGCAGCAGCAGCTCCAGATGGCGCAGCTCCGGACGCAGCTTGCGCAGATGGGGCTCTCGCCGCAGCAGCAGCAGGAGCAGATTGAGCAGTACGAAAAGGCCTTTCAGCTGCAGCTGGACCAGCTGCGTCAGCAGGCGGAATGGGTGGAGAAAGGGCAGCGGAGGATCGTTCAGGTAAGACAACCACACCACCGACAGGGACTCTTCATGACTAACGGGAATAGAACATCCTCTACCTAATGATCGTCAACATGCCGTCAGACGAAGAACTAGCCGCTGCAAGAGAGCAACTCCGCGCAGCCGAGCAGGGCCAATTCGCCGGGACGGAGATGCCAGTGAAGACGGTTGACGTGTAGTTGCTTTCTACTTCTTCTAGCAATTGCTTTCTTTCACGAGATGTCAACGATCGACGGTGTTTGGGCATGGTGTTTTGGTTTGCGGTATGATAATGGATAATGGATAATGATAGATTATTTTTACATAGGATTGATAGCAATAGTAATAGATATTCTTTTGTAACGTATCTACCTAGGTCCCCATCCTTTTTTTTTGTAGTAGATATCTATGACTATGATTTGTATATCGTATCCAGGGTCCATTCCATTCCATAGTATATATATATATTTCTTCCTCTCGAATATAGATAATTGTATTACTGTACTGTACTAGAATACATTATTAGCTGCATATCAACCTATTCATCCATCCATCTATCTACTGAAATAGAGTATCTAAGATTAAGCATAGTTATTCTATTCTAAAGCTGCGGGATAGATGCCTTGTCGGCTAGTAATCTACATACGATGCCTCCCTGGAATTAGAAAAAAAAATAAATGGCCACAACGGACATACAGAATAGAGAGTAGAAAGGAAGCAGCTCATCTCATCACCATGGACGAGACTTTTTGTCTTGTTTGAATCACTGTAGATAGGCACTTGATATATTTATATGTATAAATATATATGGGCGACATAACCCAACGAATAGTCACTGAGAATATATCAATGGGAATATATAATTGGAATATATTGTGACCAACTCCATCTCGTTACTAGCAAAAAGCTATGAGGCAGTATAATACAAAGAGATGAAGCTGAGAGGAGAAAAGGAAGAAGAAAGTAGGTATAAGGCCTTGTATAGTAATAAAATAAGTCGAGAACATTTTGCTAGCACAACGCCATACTGCCTTCCTATACTGCCTACTCCGTATATGAGAACTGTGTCCACTATCACATAAAAAATTTAAGATATATCACATATAATTAGAGCGAATAGAGGAGAAATTATAAATATCAAGTGATCAAGTGTTTGTATCTGCATAGTAGAAGACTAGAAGCTACCAGCTATATACTGCGCTAGATACAAACATAGACAACTAACAACAGGAGTATATCTGCAAGTAGACATGCAATTTGTACGCTGAAAGCTGAAAGAGAAATATGTCCTCCGTCCAATTTATATCCAGAAAGCAAGCAAACATATCCAACGAAGCAAATAAAGAAAAAAAGAAACAAAGAAACAAACCAACCAACCGAAGACGAATATATACGCCATGATCAATCGTCGCGTCATCATCCAGCAATTATCAACCAGCAAAAAAAGAGATATGCAACGAAATCATAAATGTCTTTATCTACCGCTCCACCTTCTGCAAATTCACCAACTCCCAATACTTACCCTGCAATCGCAGCAGCTTTTCATGCGTCCCCTGCTCGACGACAACGCCCCTGTCCAGCACGAAGATGACGTCCGCACGCTGGATCGTGCTGAGCCGGTGCGCGACAGCAATGGTCGTCCGCCCCCGCGCTGCTGTCTCCAGCGCCTCTTGCACGATTTTCTCTGACTCGCTGTCTAGCGCCGACGTGGCCTCGTCGAGGAGGAGGATGCGTGGGTTGCGGAAGAGTGCCCGCGCCAGGGCGATGCGTTGCTTCTGCCCGCCTGAGAATAGGGAGGCTTTGTTGCCGCATTCTGTTTCGAAGCCGTCGCTTAAAAAAAATCATCAATGTCAGCTTTTTTTTTGTCGCTAAGTATGTTTGGTGGCACCTACGGAAGTGACATGATGAAATCGTATATGTTGGCCTCCTTGCACGCCTCGACCACCCGATCCTGCACCTGCCCCGTCTCCCCCCCAACTCCATCCCAGCCCAGCAGGATGTTCTCCTTGATCGTGCCCTGATACAGCGCCGGCTCCTGCGCCACCAGCGCCAGGTGCGAGCGGTACTGGTTCACATTGAAGGTGGCGACGTTCTGCCCGTCGACGTACACGGCGCCTCCCTGCGGATCGTAGAAGCGCTCCAGCAGCGAGATCACGGTCGATTTGCCTGACCCCGACGCACCCACCAGCGCCGCGAATTGGCCCGGTCGGATGCTCAGCGTTAGGCCGCGCAGCACGGGAATGTCCGGCCGCTGCGGATAGGCGAAGTAGACGCTCCGGAAGTCGACGGCGCCGGCGAGCGTGGGAATCGGCATGGAGGGAGTGGGAGGAGAATAAGGAGCTGGAGGAAGAGGAGCAGGAGGGCCCTGCTCTCGCCCCTGGGCTGTCTCGATGACGGGCCGCCGGTCGAACAGCGTCTTCAGCGCGGCGGCCGCAGATTTCGCCTTGCCCATGTCGCCGGCGTAGCTGAACACGATGCCGGCGGACTGCACGCTGAAGATGATCTCGCACAGGCAGATGTAGAACTGCAGCAGGCTGTACTCGCGGTCCGCCAGCAACCGGCCACCGTACCAGAAGCCCAGCGCGATGCAGAGGAAGAGCAGCGACTGCGAGGCAGCGTACAGGGCGGCGTTCCGGAGATGCGCGCGCAGGGACTTGCGCTGCTGCCGCGCCAGCTGCTTTGCGTACTCGTCCTGGATGCGGCGCTCCTTGGTCAGGCTGACGACGGTGCGGATGGCGTTGATGTTCTCGGACGCATAGCTGGCCGACTCGCGATACGCGCGCTGCGAGTCCACCTGGATGCGGCTCAGCGCCCAGAAGCGAAAGAATCCGCAGCCCAGGATGACGGGGATCGTGCTGCTGGTCACCAGCGCCAGCTTCCAGCCGACGGCCAGGGCGATGACGACGGCGGCGACGAGCGTGGTCGCGCACGACAGCAGCGTGCCCAGCGTCAGCCCGGAGATGCCGGCCAGCCGGGGCACTTCGGTGGCGAGCAGCGTCGTGAGCTCGCCGGGGGGTCTCTCGTCGAAGTAGGCGATGTCCTGGGCGAGGATGACGCGGAAGGCCATGTCGCGCGCGCGGCGGATCAGGCGCTCAGAGCAGTGGGCGAGCGCGACGCCCTGGACGACGCAGGCCGCCAGCTGGACGAGGCCCAGCATGAGATACAGGCGCGCCCAGCGGTCGACCTGCGCGCGGAGGCGATCCGCGAACTGCGGCAGCGGGTTGGACGACAGCGCGACGACCGTCTCGGAGAAGAAGACGCCCTGGGTGGGCTGGCCGCCGCCGGCGACAACGTTGAAGAGCAGGCCGACGAGGATAGACAGCCATTCGGGGCGGTTGAACGAGGCGATGAAGCGGATGAGAGTGCCGAGGGAGTAGGATCCAGTCTTCTTGCTGTCGTCCTCCTCGTCTTCCGCCGGACGGAGGGTCAGGACATCCGTTCCCTTGGGGAAGATTGACAGGGCATCCGTGTCGGAGGTCAAGCGGCCGTCGAAGCTGGCAAGGCTGTCGTTGTTCATCTCGTACGTCTCCGGCGCGGAATTCCGCTCGTTCATCTCCCGCTCGGAGTTCCGCTGCTCCTCCAGCCGCTGGGCACGGACGAGGTCCGCATAGGCGCCGCCGCGCCGCAGCAGCTCGTCGTGGGTGCCGCGCTCGACGATGCGGCCGGTCTTCATGACGACGATCTCGTCGGCGTCCCGGATGGTCGACAGGCGGTGCGCAATGACGATGGTGGTGCGGCCGCGCCGGGCGGCCTGCAGGGCGTCCTGCACCAGGGTCTCGGACTTGGTGTCGAGGGCCGAGGTGGCCTCGTCCATGAGCAGGATCTTGGGATCGCGCACGACAGCGCGGGCTAGGGCAATCCGCTGGCGCTGGCCGCCAGACAGCAGGGCGCCGCGGTCGCCAACCCGGGTCTCGTAGCCGTGCGGCAGCGCCATGATGAAGCCGTGGGCGTGGACCTTCTTGGCAGCAGCGACGATGCGCTGGCGCTCGCGGATGGGGTCCTTGTCGTTGTCGAAGGGCGAGCCGATGAGCCCGTCGCGGATGTTGTTGTAGACGGTGTCGTTGAACAGCACGGGGTCCTGCTGCACAAAGGCCATCTGCTGCCGCAGCCACCGCAGGTTGAGGTCGCGGATGTCGTGCCCGTCGAGCAGGATCTGCCCGCCGACAGGGTCGTAGAAGCGCTCGATCAGGCCGCAGATGGTGCTCTTGCCAGACCCCGAGAGGCCAACCAGCGCAATCGTCCTGCCAGCCGGCACGGTGAGGCTGAAACGGTCCAGCACGAGCACCTCCGGACGTGATGGATAGGCGAAGCGGATGTCGCGCAGCTCGATCGTGCCGGCGACGGCGTCGAGGCGCGCGCCCGTCTCGTCGGAGCGCGCGGCGTCGATGGGCGAGAAGCGGTCGATGGTGCTGTAGATTTTGGCGGCAGCAGCAACACCGGTGGCCATGGCCTGCAGGTTGGGGCCGACCTGGCCCAGGGCGAAGGCGCCCATGATGATGGCGAGGATGATGGTGATGATCTCGGAGAGCGTGATGTCGCCGGCGACGAGGAAGCGCGCGCCCATCCAGAAGGCGAGCCCGTAGTTGAGGAAGAGGAAGCACAGCATGAAGCCGATCATCACGGCGAAGGCGGACTTCAGGCGCACGCCCCAGCGCTCGGCGTCGACGAGGCGCTCTGCGTAGCGCTGCGCCAGCTTCTCCTGGGCCCCGAAGGCGAAGACGACGCGGATCGAGGCCAGAATCTCTTCGGCCAGGCTGCTGCCGACGGCGGATGCTGCGAGCGCCTGCTGGTTGTAGCGCACGGTGAACGAGGTCGCTATTGTTGTCACAAGCACCATGGCGACGACGGTGCACGAGCAGATGAGCGTCAGGCGCCACGACTCGACGAAGCCGACGACGAATGCGGCCAGGAACGTGGCCAGCGCGCCGAGCGTCAGGGCTACCTTCTCGGCGATGGCCTCCTGGACGAGGTCGATGTCGGTGCACAGGCGATGCGTGACCTCGCCAACGCCCACGTCGTCGAAGTAGCCAATGTTCTGGCGTAGGATGGCCGCCAGATACTTGCGGCGCAGCGTCGAGGCGATGCGGTCGCCCGCGTACAGGAAGCCCGTCATCGAGCCGTAGACGAGGACGAACTCTCCGACGGCCAGATACACGTAGTAGAGTGCCCGGTGGCCCAGGGCGCTCGAGAACTGCGTGGCTGGCATCGTTCCGCGCTCCAGGTCGGCGAACTGGCCTGCGAGCGAGCCGAAGATGACGGGCATCAGGGGCATCACGGCGCCGCCGGCCACGGCACCCAGGGCGGAGAGCAGCAGCACGATGCGGTCGTTGCGGGTGGCATACCGGTAGAGAGCGAACAGGCCGACGGACACGGTGCGCGTCTCGATCTGCGTCCGCAGACGCTCGTTCTCTTCGTCCGTCAGCGGAATGGGCTCGGGGTCGGGCTGTGGTTCTTCGGGATACGGCGGCACCGAGCCCAGCATGGCATCCCACGCCGCAACCCACGACATGCGGTTCGTCTCGCTGCGGCGGCTGCGCTGCGAGAGGGCGCGCGACAGGCGCATGCTGCTCTCAGCACGCCGTCTGCGCCGTGTCGACGGCTCACGGCGGACGGGGGCGGCGTTGTCGTCGGAGAGCCATGTTTCGAGCGACACCCAGTCGACATATTGTGATGGCAGACGAGGTCGGGTGGACTCGAAGCGCTCCGCCAGGGGAGGGATGTTGTCCTTCTCTTCGTGCGAGGCCGCCATGGCGTGCTGGTCGAGAGCTCACAGCGAAAACGAGAAAAAGAGGAACAGGAAGAAGAAGCGGAAGCGAGCGGAGGGCCGCATGAGTGCGTTGTGTGTGTCGTTCGTTTTCCCCAAACTCTTCGGAATGTGTGTCTGCTGTCAGGAATGCAGTCTGAGCCTCAGATGAGAATTCCTGCCAGTAAAAGGGCCCTGATGCCTGTGTCGGGGGGCTGTCAGACGTCTGACAGTCTGACGGCCCAAGCCCTAACTCACCTTCCGCGCGGGTCTGACGGCGTCTCCGCTTCTGCTCTGGCCGTCACGCACAGTATAAGCCAGTAGACCGCCGATCACTCCACCGTAGAGTGCTTCCTTTCTGCATAGAATCCCTCAAAATGCGTAGTCCTGCCCTTCTCGCGCTCGCCCTGGCGGGGACGGCCGCCGCCGTCAACGGCTCCGCCCACTGCCACTGCCAGCCCTCGCAGCCCTGCTGGCCCTCGCCAGATGCCTGGAATCGCCTCAATGCGTCCCTGTCTGGCCGTCTGGTCGCCCTCCGACCCGTCGCCGCTGTATGCCACGATCCCGACTACGATGCCGCCGCATGCGCGCAGCTGCAGGCGAACAGCAACAACTCGGCCTTCCTGGCCGCCCAGCCCGGCGCGCTGCAGTGGGAGAACTGGGCTGCCTGGCCAGCTCGCGGCCAGCAGTGCTACGTCGAGACTGGGCGCTCCGTGCCGTGCGGACAGGGCCGTATCCCGCTGTACTCGGCGCAGGTCGAGTCCGTCGAGGACATCCAGACCACCGTGCGCTTCGCGGCCGCGAACAACATCAAGCTGACCATCCGGAACACCGGCCACAGCTTCCTGGGCCAGTCCAGCGCCCCGAACTCGCTGCAGATCGACACCAGCCGTCTCAATTCCATCTCCATCGTCGACTCCTGGACACCCCAGCTGCCGCCGGGCGTTCACGGGCCTCCGCCGCAGGGCGTGCCCGCCGCGACGTTCGGCGCCGGCGTCCAGATGCACGGAGCCTACACGGCCCTGAATAAAGCTGGCCGCATTATCGCCGGCGGCTCGTCCAGCACCGTGGGCGTGGCCGGCGGATTCCTGCAGGGCGGCGGACATGGCATCCTGGGCCATCTCGCGGGCATGGGATCGGACAACGCGCTGGAATTCACCGTCGTCACGGCCAACGTAAGTGCGCTCTCCTTCCCCCCATAGCTCGAATCACTGACAACACCAGGGCTCCGTGGTCACGGCCAACTCGTACCAAAACCAGGATCTCTTCTGGGCCCTGCGCGGCGGTGGCGGCGGTACCTGGGGCGTGGTCGTCAATGCCACCGTCAAGACGTATCCCGACTACCCTGTCACCGCAGCGTCTATCGGCTTCACGACTGCCCAGCCCAGCGCGGCCTACTGGGCGGGCGTCGAGGCGTGCAATGCGCATCTGGTCTCGCTCAACGACCAGGGCGCGACGGGCTACTACTACATCACGCCGTACTCGCAGGTGTCGGCCAACTCCACCGTTGCCACGTTCAACCTGTACCTGTTCTTCGTCAACCAGACGGATACGGGCTTCGTCAACCGCACGCTCGCGCCTATGCTGGCGGCCATGCAGCAGGCCACGGGCATCGCGCCCACGGTCGACATTGGCACGGTGCCCACGATGACGTCGCTGATGCTGTCCATCTTCCCGGGGGCGGACAGCGACGGGTATCTGGTGCTGCTGGGGTCGCGGCTACTGTCGCGGTCGTTCCTGGGCTCGTCGACAGGGCCGGCCAAGATGGCGCAGACGTTCCAGCGCCTGGGCCTCCAGCCGATGGAGTACATCCAGGGCTTGCTCGTGGCAGGCGGACAGGTAGCCGCCAACGCCGGGGTGGTAGACAGCGCGCTGAACCCAGCCTGGCGGACTGCAGCGCTGCATCTGATCTTCATCCGGGCGTGGATGGCGAACATGCCGCTGGCGACGCAGAATGTGCTGGCGCAGAAGATCACAAACGTCGACATGCCGCTGCTCGAGGCGCTGGAGCCGGGTCCCATGGCGGCGTATCCCAACGAGGCCAACGCCTACCAGCCCAATTTCCAGCAGGTATTTTGGGGCGACAACTATCCCAGACTGTACAAGATTAAGCAGGCGGTCGATCCGACCAATCTCTTCATCTCGCGGCTGGGTGTGGGTAGTGAGGATTGGGATGATGATGGGGCGTGCCGGAGACATTAGGATTCGATTGAAATTGATCGTCGAACCAGATCGTAGTAACTTTTTCTTTTCTGCTCTTTTTTTTCCCGTTTTGTTTTCTGCAGATAGATAGTGCAATATATTCAACGCTTGCTTTATTCTTTTCTGCTTTTTCCCCTGTCTTTCTTCTGAGAAAAATTCTAGAGAAATATTCTAGAGAAAATACTTGTCATTTCTGAACAGGCTACCGTATATAACCACAATATTGTAATATCTTGCAACTAACATCCCGATCGAAATATCATACTGATAGACTTGGTTGGGATACTGTATTATAGGCAGTCAAAACATCCTTAAAAGAGAAATATACTACTAGTCTATTTCTCGATAGGCCGCTGCATATGATTATCTGAATATGGCAATATATTTCAACTTTTCTTTCCTTTTGAGATAAACACTTGCTCGAGAATGAAGACTTGGTTGGATACTACGTTACAGCAGTCAAACACATCGAAGCAGGGAGTAGAACAGATATGCAATGAAGAACGAATAACAATAACGATAACAATAAAAATAAAAATAACTCCTGGTATCCTGATCGTTGATTCCATCCTAATCGTTCCATAGCAACCTATCCCTGACGCAAAGCATATCCATCGTATCCAGTTTAAGCGACATCACTTGTAGATCTTGAATGCATTCACCTTGTCAACCAACTGCTGCAGATCGGCCGCATTCTTGCCGCCCAGCACCAGCGAGACTGTGCTATACCGGAAAACTCCCCCCGGCCCAGCACGGCCTTCACACCAGCCGCAGACGACGACGCGGCCGGCCGTGATTTCGGCGCGGAAGACGTCGTCGAACGTCTCGCGCGTGCACTTCAGGCCCAGCGGATAGAAGAGCACCGCCTCGCTTAGGCCGCGCCGTTCGTAGAAGTGCCCGCGCAGCAGGCTCAGCTGGTAGCTCGCCGTGACGCGCGGGTTCAGGTCGACGATGTACGGCTGCCCGTCGGCGTCCTGCATCACGTCGATGCCCACGGGCCCGTAGTAGCCGCGCGCATGCAGCACGCTGGCCAGCGTCTCCAGCAGGCCGGCATACCGCACGCGGTAGTCGTCCTGGTTGGCATACGAGATGAAATTGCCGCCCCACTGACCGCGCGCGTCTAGGTACTGCGCGCCGCGGCCCAGGAAGATCGGCCGGCCGGACTTGGTGACAAACAGGTTGAGCGAGTCGACGGTGGACGACGCGACGCAGTCCTGGAGCACCAGAGACGCCGTCTTTGGGTCCTGGTCGCCCGCGTACAGCTGCTGCAGCATCTTCTTGACCTCCGGAGGGAACACCTCGAGCACCTCCTGCCGGTCCG